TAATTTTGAGAGGTTTCGACTTTTCTTGCTGTAAAATGGTCTCAATTAGGTTCTGTGGGCAGTAGGGTTCGGATCCCATCATTCTCTCCACTCGATCCTGGCTACTCCAGAATTAGCTCAGCCTGCTGGAGAGTCTGCAAGCTGACCTTCGGCTGGGCCCTTCCTGCTTGGAGCACCCCTCCTTCCTCAGATATTTGTTTTACAGGCAGATGCGCATGAGAGGATTTCTCACGTATCACATCAAGGTCACCTCCTGGGAGTACCTCATGTTCATCATCAAAAACGCCTAAACTGGTTTAAAGGGACAGGTGGGGGAGTCCTGCGAGATCTTAGGGTTCTCGCAGATAACTGCTCTAGCCAGATCCAGCCAAGGAGAGCCACGCCCCCCCAGCACCTCAGAGGCTTGCAGCACACACCCTCCCCGCCCACCCCCCCCACCTGCCTCTCACACCTCTAGGAATGACTGACCCTTGGGCCTGTGGGGGCAACCTGGGCTCCAGGGGGCAAAGTAAGAGCCACAGAAGCCAGAGGATTTACAGCCTGGAAGCCTGGGCCTCAGCCCTGAGTGCGGGGCCTGCTCGGGGAGGGAGCCGGGCTCCGAGACCCGGAGCGGGGGTGGGGGCGGGGGTTGGGGGGTCTCCAGCCTGCCTTCTGGGGCAAGCTAGGATGCTGAGACGCATGTGCACATGAGTGAGCAAGAGCACGCTCCAGGTCTAGGCACACAAGCTAAGACGGGCCCTGGGCCCAGCCACAAGCTGGCGCAGAGCCCGTCTGCAAAGGCCCGGGCAGCCAAGCTGAGGGCTCCCACCCTCAGTGCCACAGAGTGAGTTCTCACCCCCTCCCCAGGCATCAGAGCCCCACCCAGGCCCCCAGCAGGGCAGGGAGGGGGCGTGGCACCCCAGTTGGCCAGAGGCTGGGAGGAAGATGAGAAGGAGGTGAGAGGCCTGGGGTCCCCGAGCCAGGCCTCGGGGCGGGTCTGAGCTCTGTTTCTCAGAAGGGGGAGGGGCCAGCTCAGAGGCAGAGGCGAAAGGCGCCAGGCTCTACCCTTGCTGCCTGGTGCTTCCAGGTAGCACCCCTGCCAGGCCCAGCCACCACGGCTGGCTGGCTGGCTGGCGCGCTGAGTTGTCCCCAGCAGAAGGTGCTGGGGGAGCCCTACCTGTCTTGCAGCCTCAACGTCTCTCCGGAGATAAGCAGAAAAGTACAACAAATCCTGAAGAGACCATCTCCCTCCTCCTTGTGGGGGAGACGGTGAACCCCGACTGGCTGGGGCTGGTTGCTGGGATAGGAAATGGGGCCCCAGTGAGGCCGCCGAACTCACGGAGGGGCACAGGACATGGCAGCAAAGCTGCTGAGCCAACCTCCGGGAGGAGACGGGCCGGGACAGCTCCAGAACCAAGCCATTCACAGCACACCCCGAAGCCAGCCAGAGAAGTCAGTGAAACAGCACCGAGGGGCCGGAAGCACCCCCAAGGGGGAGCTGGGCCAGGCCGTCCAGGCCGGGAAAGAAGAGAAGGCTACAGATGTCACTTACTGATCGTCCCCAATTCTTTTCACCCACGCCATGTCCCGCTCCGACTGGTTGGAGGCCAGATCCTAAGGGGGGAGATGGAGAGGTCAGAGCCCAGAGCCCCCCAGGCCTGGGAGCCTTCGCTCCTGCGGCCCCCAGGGAGCCTGTGCCCCACCCGTACCTGGGCCCGGCTCTCCTGTAGCTGCTTCAGCTCCCCCTGCAGCCGCTCGCACTCCGCCTGGAGCTGCTCCTCCCGCAGCTGGGCCCCCCGGGCCTCTCCCTGCGCGGCCTCCAGGGCCTCTTCGAGTCGCCGCCGCTCCAGCTCACCCACACTCGGCACAGGGCCTGGCCAGCCCGCTGTCAACGGAGGGCACAGCGTCAGACCATGTCCCAGAGCCACAGAGAGGGAAGCAGGCAAGAAATGGAAGCAAGTGTGAGGGGCCCACGGGAGCAAATGCCCTAGGGTGGGCCACAGCGCCACGGGCGTGGAGGAAGGAGGGGCTGAGCGGCCTTTTCTAGGCCTTCCCGGAGGCCAGGCGGAACAAAGATGACTTTCTGAAGGCATTCCTGGCCAGCCGGGCAGAGCACCCTCAGGGGCCTCTCCTAATCGCAACCTAAGACAGGCAGGGCAACTCTGGGCAGGGGTGCCCTCTGCTGGCACACACGAGAATGGCAGTGGGGTAGCCTGAGGCTGCCGGGGGAATGCCCGGGGTTTTTAGAAGCAGGGATAAAACTGGGGCTAACAGTGCATGAGGTGAGAGCACGATGGGTAAGGAGGGGTGGGGTGGTTGTGGAAGAAATTAAGCTACTATCACAGGGCGTTAAGTACGGTGGAGGTGCCCGTGCTATTGAAACGGGCTGGGTTTGGGGACCTGGCGGGGGGGAGGGGGGGGGTCGGAATAAGGGGTCACGGAGCTCTCACCATGACTCAAGGCAGATCCCCCTCTCAGTGCCAGGTAGTGCAGGTCCAGGTCAGCACAGGGCGGGGCAGGGGCGGGCGGGGGGCTCAGGCTGGGGAAGGCTGCGTCCCGAAGGCCTTGTTGCTGCCGCAGCTGCTGCTCCAAACCACAGATCTGCCGCAGGTGCGTCTCCACCAGGGCCCGCTGAGGGGGAGACGGCGGTGTGTGCACCACGCCAGGGAGCCCAAGCCTTCCCATGTCTGGACGGTCACCACTCCCCACGTCAGAGCCGAGGCCCCCAGACCACACACCCCTCACCCCACCCCAAGTGGCCACGGGTGCGAGGCCTCCCCTCCCAGCAACTGCAATGCAGGTGTTTCTGGCGACGGCTCCAGCAAGGTCAGAGCCGATGGCTCTTCCCTGTCACCAACGCACCAACACAGAGGGACACTCAGCCCCTGGTCCAGCCTCGGCCGCTCCATCAGGAGCAGGAGAGCCTCCCTTCACCCATCGGCCTCATCTATAAAGTGGGGCGAACAGCAGCCCGCCTACCTCTTGGAGTTGTGAGAATTAAAATGAGCGCACACACATAAAGTGATCAGACCTGGGCCCAGCGCACAGCAAGTGTCAGGTAAGTGTTTCTGATCATTCAAGCAGAGCAGGCTTCCGTGAGTGCCCCGCAGCCTCCCGACAGCTCAGAGAGCTGGTCTCCATTTCTGAGGGTCACGGCTAGGAGCCCACGGAAGCCACGTGTCCCGACTCGGACGCCTGCCTACTGCCTCCACCCCTACTCCAGCCATCACAGACTCTCCTGGTCACCTCTGCCCTCACCCGCACAGCCTCCCAGGCACCGTGCTGTGACCAAACAGGGTTGATACCAGCGGGCAGAGACAGACGCACACGCGCGCGAGCCGGGCGCACACCGCGGGCAGCGTGCGACACCATCATGGGGTCGGAACGCTCACCCACAGAACTCCACACGCACACACCACCAGGCACCCAGCCTCCGGCACCCACGCCTCCCAGGGCCTCACCATCTCGCCCAGCTCCGTCTCCAAGTCGCTCTTCTCCACACAGAGCTTCTCGTAAGCCTGGATCATCTCCCCGAGCTGTTCTTCCTGCTCCTTATTCCTCTGCAACTGAACGGGGCCCGCAGAGTCAGGCCCACCCTTGACTGCCCACGCCTCCTCCCCGTAGCTCGCTGGTTTTAGGGAGCACCCTGGCCACCTCTGGTCACAGGCGCAGAAGCCAGAGAGGCTGGGGTGGGCGTGCGAGGACAGACGGTGCATGCAGCCAGCAGCTCAGGGGGCCGGGCCCCACAGGCCCCAGAGCTCACCTCCTGCTGGAACTGGTTGAGCCGCTGCTGCAGGCTGACCTTCTCCACCTCCAGCAGGGAGCCCTCCTTGATTTCATAGAGGGAGAAGCCGTGCTCCTCGCCAAAGTCACTGATCAGCGGGTACTGCGGGCAGGGTGGGTCATCAGCAAGGTGGGCGTCTGCTCCCTCCCAGGCTATGGCCTCAAGGTGTCCCGGCCCCACAACCTGCCTCTCCCTCCGCTCGCCAGTGGGAGCCCCATGTCCAAGGGCCTGCAGGTATCCTAAGTGCTGCTGGAGTCTGCCCCCTGGCCCGCTCTGTCGCTGGACCCCCAGGTCCTGCTGCCCCCAGGCCCGCCCCCGGCAGGCACACTACCCGGCCCCTCACCTCCCAGTTCTGACCTTGATCTCATAGACTTTGAGACGGCGGCGCAGAGTGGCATTTTCCCTCTCCAGGCCTCCCAGGCGCTCTTTGATGTCTCCATAGGCCGTGATGAGGGCAAAGTGGGAGGCGGAGCACATGTCCCCGCCCAGCGAGGGGTCTCCAGGACCGTCCAGCCACACCTCGCTGGGCCCCAGGGCCTCCTGCGTCAGGATGCTGATGTCCTCCTCAAACATGGACTCCATGGTGAGGTCCTGGGCCGTGGCCCGCACCGGGCCTCCTGGGAGAGCAGGAGCCACCGTGGAGAGGTCAGCTTGGGGCTTGTCCCCAAGACCCCGTAGCTGGCCAGCACCCCGCCAGCCAGCTTCCTGCCCAGGGCCTGCAGGAGGTGGTGGGGAGGGGGGCTCCAGCGCCCCTTCCCAGGCCACTGAGCCTCCCCTTCTTTGCTTCCCCCAGGGTTGGAGGAGGGGTATTGGCAAGTAGGGACAAGGAAGACTGGCCAGCGGCAGGCACCGGCTCCTTCCAGAACCCACGGAGACCTGTGGAAGGCAGGGCTGCCTCCCCGGCCCCGGCCGGCCCTGGAGCCTGCCTGAGCGCACTCCTCGGCCCCCTTCACCGTCCCACACTCCACTTCCCCAGATACCTCGCCGCCAAGCTCCTCATCCCAGGCCTGGCGCCCCAGCTGCTCCCTCAGGCAGGCCCAGCGCCTGTGCGAGGGTCAGCCCCAGCAGGAGCGCGGCCTCGGCGGCGCCCCCGCCCAACTTCCGCGCTTCCTCCCGCAGGATCCCAGAGTTCAGGAAAAGGAAGCGCCTCCCCTAGCCGCACCGGGGCGGTGGCAACCGGCCAGGCACTCCCGGCCCCTGCCCCGGGACCGACAGGAAGCCCTTGGCTGAGCGTCAGAGCGACGCGTCAGCTGGGGAATGGGCCTCGGGTGAGGAGGGACCCCCGCGCGTCCCCCGCGGGTCCCAGCGCGCCTGCACACGGGGACCGGGGAGCCCGGCGAGGGGGTAGGGATGACTCAGGGCTCCCGAAAGAGTAGGCAGCGAGGGGGTGCGTGTGTGTACTTCTCCGAGCCTGTTTATGAATGTGTGTCTGCGGCGGGCCCGCGAATGAGTGTAGGTGTGTCAGCGTCAATGGGCGCCTCGGCCGGCCGCAGCCCGGGGGTCGGCGCGAGGCGCGCAGCGCCGGCGGCGGGCGCGCGTGTGTGCACGCGTGCGTGAGCGTGTGGGCAGGTGCGCACGTTCGGCCGGGTCACGTGAGGCACTATGGGAATGTCCGAGGTGTGCGCGCGCTGGAGCGTGTGTGTGCGCCCGGGAGCGGGGGCCCGGCGGAGAGGTGTGAGTGCAGACCGCGGGGCGCCGACCGCCCCGAGCGGGGCTGCGCGCGCAGGGGGCGCCCCGGGCTCGGGCGCAGGCCCCAGCACCGCGCCCAGCTCCTCTTAAGTGCTAGGGCAACGCGTGTGACCGGGTCTGAGTAAGGAGCGGGTGCGCGCGTGTGTAGGGCCGGCCCCACCTTTAACCCCCTGCTTCCCACGCCACCCCTCCCCCCGACTCGCTCGTCAGCGCTCTCCGCACACTCCCCCCACCCCCGACCCCTGCCCGTCCCCTCGGGCCCACCCCCACGACGGGCTCCGCGCCCCGGGCCGCCCCGCCGAGGCCTCCTTCTCCGCATTCTTCCCTCGGCCCAGCAGCCCCGGCTGAGCTCCGCGGGAGGCGGATGGGGAGGGGGTGCCTCCGGCCGGCCCCGGGCCCCTCCTGCGGCCCCTTTAAGAGCCGCCCTTTAAACCCCTTTAGCTCGGCGGACAGAAACTGTCGCCCCTCCCCTCTCGGGGGCTGAGACCACGCAGCCCCCTCCCCCGCCCCCGGCAGTGCCCGCGGCCCGCGGCCCCCCGGCCGCCCGCCCCAAGCCGGGGAAAAGGGCTCCGGGGGCGGCGCGGCCTGAGGCGCGGCGGCGGACACGAACCCTTCCCCTCCCAGCCATCCGGTGCAAACTGCCAGCCTTCCTCTCCCCCGCTCCGGCCCACCCGCGACCCCCCGGCCCGGCCGGCCGCCGCTCCCCTCCCCCTCCCCCTCCCCAGCCGGGGACTCACAGCTGCTGCCGGCTCCTGCTTGTAATCGCAGCTTATCCCCTCCGCCTGCTCCCTCCCAGACGGGCACCGGTGCCCCCACCCCCCTGGCACCGCGCTCTGCTCCGCGCCCTGTCGCCGCCGCCGGGTCTCTCCCCACCCCCCACCCCTCCCCCCAACCCCCTCCCTCCCTCCCGCCCGCCCCGCTCCTCCTCCGCCGCCGCCGCCGTCTCCTCCGCCTCCTCCTCCCCGGCTGCTCCGGGTTTCTCCTGCTGGGAAGGCGCCCGGGACCCCGCCGCTGCCCCCGGCACGTGGCGAGGGGCGGCGGCCCCCGCGGTGCGGCCCGGCTGGCGGCGCGCCCGGCGCCCACCGGCTCCCCGCAGAGCGGCCGGCCCGCGCCGCGCCCCCTCCCCGCCGCGTCCCGGCGCAGTGTGGCGTGGTGGCGTGTGTCGGGGCGTCTGCGGACAGCGCAGGGGCGCAGCCGGGGCCGGGTGCTTGCGGAGGCAGGGGGCCTGTTTATGTGGATGATTTTGGGAGAGGCGTTGGACCTTCTCCTCATTGCTGTAGGGGGGAGGGGGCCGGGCTGGGAGAAACACACGGAATAGAGAGGGTGCAGCCGGGGAGCTTGGCGAGGAATCTGTAACTTGGGAAGTGAGAGCGAACTAAGGGGCCCGCACGTTCATTTAAGAAAGTGGACGACGGCTCGCTCCCTCCGCACACGCCCCCTCCCCCAGCACCCGAGCGCCCTCCGGCCGGAGAAAGGAGACAACAGCTCCCATTCTTTCTACAGCGATTATTTGAGCGCTTTCCAAACTGCTGGGCCGGAGACGCAAGTGGGTTTTCTTGGTGGTGTTCTGTTTTGTTTTTGACACTTTCCCACCGGCTGACCTTGGGCAAGCTGCTTAACCTCTCTGAGTTAACTCCTCGCCAGGCACCGGGGTGGGGCAGGACCTGGTCAGAGGAGAAGGTGCCCTGTGCCGCCTGGGCGTGGTTAGCCCAGCTGCAGGTGGGGACGGGCAGGCGAGGGGTTTTTCCCAGGCTCAGCTTGGGCAGGTTGCTGGGAAGCTGAGCTAACCTTTCTGGCTGCCGGGACAGGGCAGAGGGAAGAGAGGTCCCTTGCTCTGGGCTTTCAGCAGCAGTGCCCTGCCATGCTGGCCCACTGCGGGGAAGCATGGCCCCGGGGGTACGCTCTTTCTCTTCAAAGAAGGGGGTTCTCATTGGCTTCCTTCCTCCTCAAGCTTTTTGTTCCTTTTCATCTTTCCTGCTAATGTTCACTCCCCTGTATAGGCCAGAACGGGAAGGCGGGACCCTTCACTGGGCCCCGTCGGGTGAGCGGTCCACCCTGTAGAAGGGAAGGCAAGCTGGGCTGGGACCTGTGCTCACGCCGTGAATCCAGGCACCAGGCTGGTGTCCCGTAGTGCTCGTAGGAGACAAGGGCAAGGCGTTGGAGGTGGGGCCAGAAGGTGTGGGTGCTTGGGAGACCCCGGACTTGGCTCCAAGGTGGACCTTGTAACTGCCTGGCAAACCCTCGCTCGCCCTTCGTTCTGAACACACGCTCTTCGTAAGGAGCCGTCAGCCCTGCTGCTGCCTGGATGCTCGGGGTCCAGGCCGGACTGAGTCACCTGGCAGGGGAAAGCCCAGGGTTCCAGCTTGGGTTCTGGGGGGTTGGTGGCAAAAGCCCAAAATTAGGCCTCGCTTAAATACCCTAAAATGTGCTCCCAGCCTGCTAAATTTGGACTTGATCTCCATTGCACTCTCCCTGTGTGTGGTCTGTGTGTGTGTGTGTGAATGTTTCTTTAGTTTCATTTGCTTAGAGAAGAATCTTCCGTGTGCTGGTCACTCCCCAGATGCCTGCCACAGTCAGGGGCCCAGGCATTTCAGCCATCGCCTGCTGCCTCCCAGGATGCGTTAGCAGGAAGCTGGAGCGGAAGTGGAGGTTCAGGACTTGAACCAGCGCTCCAAAAAGTATGGGTTGTGGTGTCCAGAGCAGCAGCTTAACCCACTACAGCACAAGGCCCGCCCCTCCTCCTTCCTGTTTCTAGCTCTGTTGCTCATCAGACAAGTGTCTAAAATGTTGTCATCAGGCGGTTCCAAGAGCAGGGTCTATATCCCATCCATAGTTCCTTTTTTTTTTTTCCAAAAAATTATTTATTTATTTGAAATGCAGAGTTATGGAGAGGCAGAAGCAGGGAGAGGTCTTCCATCTGCTGGTTCACTCCCCAAATGGCCTCAATAACCAGGGCTGGGCCATGCTGAAGCCAGCAACCAGGAACTTCTTTCAGGTCTCCCACATGGGTGCAGGGGCCCAAGGACTTGGGCCATCTTCCACTGCTTTCCCAGGCCACAGCAGAGAGCTGGATCAGAAGTGGAACAGCCAGGACTTGAACCATATGGGATGCCAGCACTTCAGGTGGAGGCTTTACCTGCTATACCACAGGGCTGACCCCACCCCCCATCCACAGTTTTAAAAGTTTTATTTAATTTGAGAGACAGAGCTCCCATCTCCCCAAGTGCCTGCAATGGCTGGAGCTGGGTTGGACTGAAATGGGGAACCAGAAACTCAATCCAGGCATTAGCAGAGTGTGCATTAGCAGGAAGCTGGATCAGGAGCAGAGCTGGGTCTGAAACCCAGGCTCTCCAATATGGGATGCAGGTGTCCCAACCAGGCTCTGAACTGCCTGTCCCTCCTATGGACTTTGTATCCCCAGATGTCCTGGTCACCCCTGCTTACGACGCATTTACTTGCAAAGATTTCGTGGACACCTGTTGTGTGCTGGATGCTAAGAATACAGTGATGAGCCTGTCTCTTGCCTTTGTGGAGCTTACATTCTAGTAGGGGAGTCAGACAAATAAATAGATGAAGAATTATACAGTCACACATTGTGATAGAAGACCCGGAGCAGCAGCAGGGGAGAGTGGGAGGGTGGGTTCTGCCTTGGTGGTCAGAGGTGGTCTGTCTGGTTTAGAGATGGCGTTTCAGCCAAGCCCTAAAGGGTAAGCAGACGTGTCCGTTGTTGGACGAGTAAACACAGGAAGCGGTGTGACTTTGGAGGAGTTACTCCTGGGCCTGTTTCCTGAGCATAGAAACCTGGACACTGCTCTGAATTCCTTCTAGGAACCCCCGGTATGTCCAGGGCAAATCACTGTGGAGACAGAAAGGTAGAAGCCAGGAGCATGGAGCGGGAGGGAGGGGGAGCATGGTGGACACCTGCTCGGGCGTGAGTCGTGAAACGTCTGCAAATGGCCTGCACAGGCGCGGCAAGGGAGGACCGGCCTCCGCTCTGAGGACAGGGAGAAGCAGCCCCTGGCCGCCCTGCAGCGGTTTCCTCCCCAGGACCCATCGGGGGAGACTGTCTCCCACTCTCTGACTCGCTCTGGGGAGACTTTGTCTTGCCTGAGAAGAGTAGGAGGAGGTGGCATTAGCAGCCAGTAAAGAGACTGAATCAGACTAAAACCCGGGTGACTCAAACAGAACCAGGCGGGCAGGACCCACGTGACTGCAGGGTCCGGGGGCCGCCTCTGCCCCCCAGTCCCAGACCTTAGGAAATGAGGGCTCACTGCGGGCCCGTCCTGTGACTCAGCGTAGCTGCGATCTCCCGTCAGATCAGAGGGTAGGGCAGTGGTGGAACAACTTATCCCGATTCCTGGAGAGGGCAGGCACGGCTCTAATTCAGTTGGCAGGTCTGGGGAGGAAATAGGGCATGTTCTTCTGCCGCCCTCCCAGGTGCAATAGCAGGGAGCTGGATCAGAAGTGGAGCAGCTGGGACATGGACTGGTGCCCATATGGGATGCTGGTACTGCAGGCATAGGTTAAACCACAGCGGCGGCCCCTCACGGCTCTAAGCTGGGCATTGCAGTGGTAAACGAGTTAGACTCAGTGCCTGCACCACAGAGTTCACAGAGGGGAACCCAGGCACAAGTAGGTGGAGCAGTGTACACGAGTGTACGTCGAGTGACGTGAAGGACCGGATGCGTACAGCCGAGGTGCCGACGGCGTCCGTGCTGGGCAAGCCCGGGAAGAGCTCTGGCTTTGGTGTCTCTCAGACCTGGGTTTGAAGTCCGGCTCCCTGCGGTCTCGGGCTGACCACTCGTCTTCCTGCCCCTTCGTCCTCATCAGGATACCGGGAATAGTGACTGTCACCGCAGCTGTTGTGAGCGCGAAGGTAAAACATGAAATCTCCGCGTTTGCTGTTTTTCACTGCGGGAAGGAGCGGCCGGACCCCTGGTGGGGCCAGGCAGGAACTGCTGTAAGCTGATGCTATCAGCTTGTTTGTGGGCAGCTGCGGTAACCTGCGGCCCTAGTATAAAGGAGAGCAGGGCCTGCCATCTCCCACGAAGCACACTGACTGCTCTTGGCCGACCACTGTTACTCAGGATGTCACCCAGTGGCCTACGAACCCAGTAGTCTCCAAAGTGGGGCGCAGGAGCAAGGTATCGGTACTTCCATTCCATCTAGAGCCCACATTTTAGTCTGTGCCTTCTGATCATAC